CATCGGACTCCTGTTTTCTGATTGGTTGCAGAGCGTCGTACGACGCAAATCGGATGCAGGGTGAATCCAGCATTTAAGCTAGTCGACATTTAGTCCAGGGGAAGATTCTGTATCTTGAAACGAGGTGAAAATTACAAAAGTGAGCAAATTTAGGTGTTGACCAATGAAATTATCAGTATTCTAGTAAATTCGTTCACTTTTATAATTTTCACTTCGTTTCAAGATACAGAATCGATCCCCAGATCTACAATAGTGTTTTAAGCCTTAAGCCTTAAGAAATGGGCGAATCGCAGTCGCTTATTCTTCTCGGATTCGACTGTAATTGGTCAATTTCTTAGGGCCATTCCACACAAACTTGCATAGCCGCATAAACATATGCATAAAGAAAATTACCCAATCGTAGTTTACGTTTGTCTTTATGACTGAAATGTGATTGGATAATTTTCTTTATGCATATGGTTATGCGACTCTGCAGGTTTGTGTGGAATGGCCCTTACGGCTTAAGGCTTAAAACACCTATTGTAGATCCGGGGTTAAAGGCGCGGTCCATTGATGCTACAAATACTTCGAAACTTTTGATTGACCAATCGGAAATAAGAATTTTACTAACTGACCAATAAAAAAATACTTCGAAGCATTTGTAGCATCAAGTGGACCGTATCCTAAATGGCCCTGAAAGAGAGAACGGAAAAAGAAAGAAATGAGATAGAAGTTTAGATGGCGTTACTGAGCAACTTACTTATTTCACGCATGCGCACTCTATTTTGGCCAAAATAAAATCAGGAGCATCCTTTGACTATTCTTTTTTTTTTTTTCACTCAGATTGGACTATTTCTTTAAAACTAAAAGTATAAACCAATCAGCGCGACGAATCATAAAACGGTTGCAAAACTGTTGAGTCTGCTGAACGCAGTCTATATAATATGGACTGCTAGCAGCAACTTCAGACAGGTAGCTAACCCATGCATTATAAAGAGAGGAACATGTAACAATGGCTGCGTTCAGCAGGGGTGCGTTCCAAAACGTAATTTTAGTTACTAAAAAGCTATAGTTTACGTTACGTTAACTATAGATTTCAGTTACCAAAGTTGCGTTTTGGAACGCACCCCAGAGAAAGCAGTTTTGCAACTGTTGTAAAATTCTTCAATATGATTGGTTTATACATTTAGATCCAATCAGGAACTAAGGATAAAACTAAGGGCCTGCGCACAATAGAGGAACAAGAATTAGATATTAAGATTTCAACCTATCAGAAACCGTGTATTCCGATGTAATCAGTTTCTGATAGGTTAAAATCTTAATATCTAATTCCTGTTCCTCTATTGTGCTCAGGTCCTAATCATATTGAAGAATTTTACAATAGTTGCAAAGCTGCTTTCTCTGCTGAACGCAACCAATCATCTCCGATGTTAAGCCCCGCCCCATCGACCAAAAACGTGGCAGATTCAAATGTAGTGTTAGTTATATCTATTATAAAATACTTATATTTTAAGTTTAACACGTAGAATTAGTTTAGTTTTTACTAAATTTGTAATTTGTACTGTGTATTATGCGTTATTATTGTAAAGATTCACATGATTATTAAAATATAATGATAAATATTGAAAAATTTAAAGACAAAAATAAAAGAAGTAGTATAAAAACAAGATTATTTAATCTCATTTTAAATAAATAAGAGATAAAATGTAATATGCATAGATTAATATATCTAATAAAAATAGATTATATTATATAAATTAAAAAAAATTTTTTTAATGAAATAGAATTTGCGTATTACACAATGCAATCTAATAACATTATATAGTTTGCAAATTTTGAGCAATTTTTAGTGCAAAGAAGAAACAACTTTTTTACGTATTTTGAAGTGCTGAATTCGGATCCGTTGTAAAAAGAATCGAATCGAAATTTCAAAGTAGCATGTTAGTGTAACATTGTTAAAATAGAACTTATGAAAAAATTATCATATGAAACAGCTGTATTGTCATATTGCACATCTGTCGCTAAATGTTTAATTTTTTCATTCATCTAATTCTTTTCAAATGATTTGAGTACAACAAATAATGAGCAAGGCGAATACTAGGATTTGATAATAATTGAGAAACATTATCAGAGGGACGCAAACATGTTAGGTGGCTACTACTGGACTTCAATACGTAAATCAGCTCCAAAGTCACGAATATTTTCGGCGAATCTTTTTGTCACGAATATTTTCAGCCTTGGAATGCCTTGGAACTCTGAGCACGTCTTTAAAGGGGTCGTATGCCCTACCAGCTGTGACGTTAGTTCACGCATTCCTCAATTGGTCGATGGCGGCGCGACACATCTTGACATCCAGTCTGCTGAAGTTGCTGCTGGCAGTCCATATTATATATAGCGTTTTCGATTGGCCAAAATTTAGTGCGCACCAGTGCGCACTCAGTTCACACCAACACTGGACGAGTTCCATGGATTGCACTGAATAGTGCAAGTTCAAAAGAATACGCCAAGATTTTCAGTGCTAAAGCAGGGTGTCGATCATGAAACTTTTTTCCTAGGATGAAAAGTGAAAAATTTCTCCATTAACTTCAATGGTTAAAATTTTCACTTTTCACTTTTCATCCTAGGGATAAAGTTTCATGATTGATGCCCTGAAACTCATTTTTGTTCACTTTGAAGCAATGTTCAACAAAATGTTACAAAACCACAGTAAAAGATATTAAGAGTAGGGACAAGACCCCGTTTTTAATTCAACTACGCAGATTTGCTTGTCCCTATGTATATCCTTAACTGTGATAAAACGTGCACTGAACTGGCACCGTCAAAATGGCTGCTTTCCTTTTAGGAGACACAAA